GTGCACCACACCCCGGCCTCGTGGTCAGGTACTGAGCACGTGGTGCACCACACCCCGGCCTCGTGGTCAGGTACTGAGCACACGTGCAGCTCGTGAATGCCGGGGTCCTTGCATTCTTCCCTCAGATGGCTTTTTGTTGGCAAATGAAGCTGGCACACGGCCACACAGACGCAGCATTGATGGTGCAGGTGTCCGTGGAGCACAGCACGAGGAGCGGCCTGTGACGCCCCCGCACCTCGCCCGTGCAGCCCCTGTGCTTGTCCTCCTGGCGCCTCAGGGCACTGGTTTCCTGCATTCGCTTTGCTCCTCTTTTGCATGTTCTGTCTTTCCAGAAGAAGAGAGTTAGGGAATTAAAAGGGGAGCATTCTTTTGTGGGATAAGTGACATGAAAATGCCACTTAAAGCATATACATATACTTTGGTGACCTGGTAGAGTTATCGTTATATCTTCTCAAAGGTTTAACATTCTTTCTGAGGTTAGTGTATCCACGTGTAGACTGTGGTGCTACAATGACTTGAAAACATTGCTTTCTTTCAGGGTGAAGTGCATTTCTTGAAAGTACGTTGGAATCTTTTTTCTGAAATTAATTATACGGAATTACTATTTGGTTGCCAAGAATAGTGATACACTTGATTTTTGATTTCGTTCATAGTTTGATTAGGATGTGTAGCATTTTTCAATATTCATTTATCTAATTCTCCTAAAGTATTGACAGTTTAGGGTAAATTTTCAATGAAACGACATCCTAGGCAACAATTTTTTTTTTCCAAGAAAATAAGGCATCCATTTGATTGCTATTTTCATCACTAAGTCTGTAATTTTATTATTTCCGGCTAACTCAGGAATCGTTCTGCCCCAGGTGCAATGTTGATTGAACACCAGTGCTGCCCTCCCTCCAGGCTATAAAGCAGCCAGAGCTGGGCCGTGGTTTAAGCCCACCAGGCCTTCTGTCGGGCAGGCGGGATGGGATTCCTTGGGACCCATCTGAGGCGGACTCCCCAGGCGTCCTTTTGGGGTGACATCCCCAGCCTTCCTTGTGCTCATGGGGTTTTCAACATTTGTATTCACGTGCAATTTTTGCTTTTTGATGAAGAAATTATTTTGGAATAGTTCAAACTTGACTAACAGAAATACTGTAAGTAAATATTACGTGTCAAGAGATAAGTAAAACTGATCGTTCTCGGCTTACCTGGTACCAGGCACTTATAAAGCTAAATTTTCCAATGTTGTTTTCACCAGCATATCCTCTTCTCAGCTTGTTCATTGATGCAGAAAGCAGGCAGCTGGTCGCCGGGTGTGCTGACGGCCAGGTGAGACAGCCAGAGTGAAGTTCCAGTTCCCACACATTCCTGTACGTGAGCATGTACACAGGGGTCTTCGTCTTCATGCTGCTTTGTATTTTCCTGTGATTTGAAAAAACCTGTCCACCTCAGTGCTGAGAATGTGACCCTCAGTGGGTCTCAGCATTCCTGTGGGTTCAATATGGCCCTGGGCCCCCTGGTCTGCGGAGGAGCTGGATCTGCACGTCCCAGAGCTCCATACATGGTTCTGGAGTGCCGCTAAAGTGAGGGCCACTCACGTGACCTTTAAAACCTGATGAGAAGAGGGCTGTGAGCAGACATCCCACGCATGCTGCCTGCGCCCCGGAGAGGCTCCCTGGATGGCTCCTCTGGTGGCATCCCCAGTGCTCCTTGTGCTCCTTTTCCTGTCAGCTTTACACACTGTTGAAAAACCTGAAGGTATTGGTTTTTTTCAAAACATTTTTTTAGGTGAGCATTTTAAGTTCATTTCATATGAAGACTTAAATTTTTTTTTTTTCCTTTTGACAAAGTTAACCACTGTTGCCCTTGTCTTCTCACCCAGGGCATGTGGGACGTGCTCTTGGCTGTGAAGCTGTGGGGTGTGTGCACAGAGCCTGGCGCCCGGGGGTCCCGGAGGAGCTGTGGGGTGTGTGCAGAGAGCCTGGCGCCCAGGGGTCCTGGAGGAACTGTGGGGTGTGTGCAGA